TCTAACCTCCAACAAATTTTTGCTTCGATTCATGACATGGTTCTCTGAAAGTATATAGGCTGTCCAGGCTATGTTAGAAAAACGTGGGAAAGTTTTGATAAAATTGATACCGCCCTGACACTCTTAACCCCCTAAATATGCAAAATCAATTTGAGTACCCATTATGCCGAAACCTTAAAGCTCCAGGTTCTTGTAGTAATCCCTAAGTAGTTTATTTAAGCAGTCAGCACCATCCTAAACACACTATGTAAGAAACCGATGCAAATAAGTGTATGATCTCTAGTGTAAAATGAGAAATTAAGAAAGAAAAAAATTATGAAGAAAAAGACATGTTCCTTCTAAGTTAGGTGCTCCTCACCCGAGCACTTAGCCTAACGGTACAAACTCTTTAAGTTCAATTGATGCTTAAGCATATTTGCAGAGAAAAAATGAAATAGCATCGAGATCATAGTCACTAACAGGTTTACTTGCCATGAATGTGTATGGATAACGGGCTTAATGTGATTGCACTATAATGAAATGGGGTGAAAGAGAGCATGAGATATAGGTTGAGTTATAATGGCATGATTCCGATTGGTTTACATAAGTAGGGAGTTTTTGAAATTGTGTCATTACGGTATCCTTGGTATTGATATTTAGTACCTATCAATCTAACATTAGCCTAGCAGCCACATATGATTAGAGTCTCATCATGTTTTTGTTTCGAACTATGCTTATTTCTTTTTACCGTGTTGGTTGGTTGCTTGAGGACAAGCAATGGTTTAAGTGTGGGGGTGTTTGATAACGCGAAATCATATCGTTTATTTGGCTTGAGTTACATCCATTTATTTGTGACTATTATTAATTTATCTTGATTTATGTTCTATTATATGATTAATTTACTTCGTTTTGCAGATTGGGGAGAATTTGGATTAAAGAAAGAAAAGAAGAAGAAATGGAAGGAAAAGAGAGAAGAAAAACAGAAAAATGGATTTTGCTGATATGACGGTCGTCACAGGTCCATTACGACTGTCATGCGTATGACGACCGTCACGTTCCATTACGAGCTTCACGCAGACGAAATATCATTTAACGTTCAAATCAGTTTTTTTTGCCACGATCACTCTCTCTAAGATTTCTTCCTACACTTTCTCCACTCACTGCCCACTACTGGAAGTTACTCTCATTCCCTCCATAACTCACCCATGATCTCTGGAAGTTGAAGAAGGAATTATCTCCTATAAATAGGCCTTAGATTCACAGTTTAGGGGGGAGGCTTCGAGGTATCGAAGTGCTGCCAAGATTTCTACTGAAGCTATTTCTCCCAGTTTTATTGTTTTCTTTTATTTTCATTTCCATTTTCCTTTAGTTCAGAACATTGTATTTTCTTCCTGTACCTTTTAATTCTCGCCAAAGTAGAATCCTGCCGACATTGTGGAGGACTACTCAAGGATTCGAGATCAGTACGATTTACAGGTTCTTATTAATTGAATTATTACTTTATTTTCTGTCATAATGTATGTTTTATTATTTTGCTGTTTATATTTATTCCCGTTTGCATTAATTATCATGTCTAGCTAAATTAGTTTTATCGGTATGTAACCGAATTAGTAGGAAAGGATTCGATAGTAACCGGCACCTTCCCTTTTTACAAACAACCTTTCTGGCCGTAGTTTTTAATCTTAATTTCTAAATAAACCTTCGTCACGACAGTGAGAAATTATTTACAGTAGTTTCGCCACGATAGTGGGAAATTTATTAAGGCACGAATCGGCACGCGAAAGCTGGGATTCAAACCAGATAGTAAAAACTAGGCATTGATTTTAAACACAGCGAAAGCGCTTTAAAAGAAATCAGAATCTATTTGTTTTCAAAAAAGTAGTTTTAACCCCGAATGGGACTGCGAGAGCGTACATTCCGCCTTAGAATTATGACCCGAGTCAACAACCATCGTGAGGCAGAGGTCTCTAAACGAGTATTTTCTCCTGAAAAGTATTTGCAAAGAGTAAAAAGAACCGGCGAACTGTCGAATCCCCGATAACTAATTCCTTGCATACCGATATCCCTTTACCTCTTTTTCTTTAAACCAATTATCTTTATTTCCTTTGCATTTAATTTCATTCGCATTCAGCTTTCCTAATTCCATTAGCCTTAGCTTTACACCGTAATAATAGATAACGGTAGATTGACATTGGTCTTTGTGGGTTCGACAATCTTTTATATTATTTCGATATTTCCGTGCACTTGCGGACGCATCAAGAACTCCTTCAACGTCTTCACCAGAATTTCCTTTTTGAGTAGAGGTCTGCCCCTGCTCAATCACTGTCTGCTTCTCATTTGTATTGTTTGGTGGTGCTATGGGTGCAAAATACTCCCGCTTCTAGTCATTCCACTTGTTCCAACAATGTTCTCTAAGAGCTGTTAGCTTTCACAACATCCTCCTCCACATTCTGCCCATTAATGTAAACAGTTGGCTCGTACTTCCAAGGGACAACCTTAGTGCTCTTAAAAGGGAAAGAAGCAGGCGTAGATATCACTAACGGAGCGAGTGAAGGAGGAGACAGTGGGATCTCTACTTGATCGTACGGTATCTGCAGTGGTTCACGAGCTTGATTATATAGGGCCTGGAGAGGATGCCAATCATAATCACAAGGGATTTCCAAAGGCACATGAGGCTGATCACATGGAACTACTAGTGGTACAACATCATACGGGATTTGCAATGGAATTTGGACTGGATACCAATCTTCATCACATGGAATTGTCAGAGGCACACGAGGCTGCTCATACGGAATCTTCAGTAGTACACGGTTTTGACCATATGGATTGTTCAACAGTTCTTCATCATAAAGAAATTCCATCGGATCATAGGGAATATCAATCGGGTCATATGGAATGTCCAGAGTTGCCACTTATTCAGCATTTGATATTTTTTCTACCAATATGATGCCTTGGTCCAACAACCTCTGGATGCCTATCTTCAGTACATGACAGCTTTGGGGATCTTTTAAGCAGTATTGACATTCTGCGGTGCATCCTAGGAAAACATTCTTCATTAGCAATTGTTCTTTAACAGCTACAAAGGGGGTCTTCATCTTGTCAACTTCTGACACCAACTTCTTCCCTCTTGACTCTTCAATCATGTTTGTAGCATGGTTTGGCATTGGATTATTAGTCACATTGAGAGTGTTTTTGGTGAAATTGATAACTTTCGAGTCGATAAGATCCTGTACCACGTACTTCAAAGCTTTGCAATTTTCAATATTATGTCTGGGAGCTCCAGAATGAAATTTACAACGGGCATTTGCATCATAGCCAGGAGGTAGGACAACTGAGGGAGCCTTCATTTCTCTCAACTGTACTAAAGATCCTTTAAAAATGGAAGCAACCTGGTGTAGGTGTTCAGAATAGGATCAAACTTTTTCTCAGGTCTCCTTTGCCTTGGCTGACCCTGATAATAGCTTTGACGTTGAGGTGCTTGTTGTTGGTAGGGGACTTGAACATCCAGTTGGCTTGCAGGTATAGATAAAGGTTGATTTGGAGTAATAGCGGCCACATGATGATAAGAACCTTGATACGCTCTAGCTTTCCCCTTCTTTTTTGATGTGGTAAAATTCAATAGATCAATCTTTTGGCTTGATGCTTTTCCTTGCAAAGTTTAAATGTAACACGTGAGTTTTGTTTATGTGAATAGCTTCTAGCCATATGCTTAAGAATGGAGACATTAATAAAAATACTCATTTTCTGCGGATTTACCTGCGGAATTTGACAAAACTTCCGCAGAAAAAGTGTTACAGTGTTACCTGCGATTCTTCCTGCTATTTTCTTTTTTCAGCTAAAACCTCCATGGGTAATTAATTTAGCAGGTAAAGCCGCAGAAAAATGTCACAGGTAAAACAGATAAACTCGAAGATAATACCGCAGGTAATTGAAATTTTGGCAGGAAAAGTCGAAGGGAGTTGGTAATCCGCAGGTAAACTCACAGATAATTTCTCTCTTAGGTTTTTAGTTCTTATTGTTAATTGTGTTTGGTTCATAATTAAAATATTATAATTAATAAAATATCAAAGTAACAATAATATAAAAATAAAAATCTAATTTGAATAAGACAATGCAACACTAATCACATTCAAATTTTTAAAGCAACCAAACATTACTATAAAATCAATAACAAGTACTTTTAGAATTACATTACTAAAAATGACACAATTAAGTTACTAATAATCATTTGTTCAACCAAATTAATAAGAAAAAACAATGCAAATTTCAAACTAGTTAACATGAAAAAACAATCCAAATCAAAATTTACTCTAATGTGTTCACTAATGTTTTCATATGATTCATCAATATCATCTTCACTTATATTATCAGTTTCATTATTGGCTTAAAGTGTATGAGAAGAAGATGCAGCAAATCCTAAATGATTCATTAACAATAAAAGTTTACTGTTCGTTTCAATCATCTTTTTTTTCTTGTCGTTGCAATTGTTGCTTAATCTCTAACTTCTCTTGTTCAAATGAGTACGTATGATGTGAGCAATTTCTGCAACTACCAGTTTGTGACGGTCAAATTTGAAAAAGAGACATTTTAAACAAATAAATATTAATTTAAATGGCGAAAGTAGTGTTGCATATAAAATAAAGTATCTTTTTTATTAACTATTATATACGAGTAAGCAGTGTTATCAAATTGCGGCGCCATGGCCGCAATGGCGATATACATAGCGGTTCTCAGGCTTGCCACAATGGTAAATACCACCTACTATTTTTAATTCAACTTTGATAACATGTTTATTAATATCCACATGCTGAGAATTAAATTCAAGAAAAATCAAAAGAGGAACAAAATATGAACTAGGTGTGGAAGAATAAGAGATCGGGATACTCACTGGAGCTTTGAACTGAAGGAGCTGCTACTTGGTTAGAGTTTTAGTTTTTTTTCAAACCAAGTGAATAAACAAAACTGTTAGAATACAAACAAATATTCTATACATACATCCTAAATTTATTGCACTTTCTTTTCTATTTAATTGTCACACAAGCCTCCAGCAATCTATAACAACATATATTTAAGTTACAGGAACCAATAAAGTGGAAATTGTCAAATTTTTAAATATAATAGAAACATGCATGTAAACCCTATATAAAGATGTCCATACAAAAACTAAACATCATAGAATTGATAGGAACACATCCATACAAAAACTAAACATCATAGAATTCATAGGAACACATCATCACGCAAATATGTTGGAACTGTAGAAATTGGAAAGTCTTATAGAGCTGGTTTAATTTCTAACAACATTATGGTGATCAATTACCTTGCCAAGAGTGTTTGCCGATAATGGAGCAATGACCATGATATCCGAAGCTCAATGTGAAGCACACTATCTCCTAGTTTCTTCCAACTAGAATATTCATTGTTGTCCGTATACAAAATCACATCCTTGAGAATCGCTGTTCTGTCAATAAAATATAAGGATGGATTTGTGGCAACTGCTCTTACTTCAGCCCATTCACATAAACATTGACAAAGATTTGCAAATTTAACAGCAGCAACACTCCCACTAGTAGCAAGTAAAATCCTAGGCTTCGTTGGTGCAGTAGCTACTGACATATTATCTCCCACTGAACTCACAGGTTTTGAGTAAGCCATCATCAACCAAAAATTTCAACAAAGATCTTAAATATCCACCATTCAAACAGGAGTTTCAGCTTACTCATACAACAAACCTTCAAATTGGTAAAGTAAAATCCCTTTATAAGACATCACTTAATAAAATGAGTAATCGTACAAAGTCCAAGTTAAGAAAATCCCTAGTTATTGAAATGAAACTGTGAAAATAGGAGAATCTAATGGACAATGTGAACCACCCAACCCATATGTATATTCTATACTAGTTTAAATATATTTTTTGAAAAATGAAATCAACATATGTTACTTTCCATACTACATGGTTAAACTAATTACTCAATGACCTCATTATGTGAAAACCACCTATAACCTCTGTCTTGTTAAGCTACAATATAAATTTAAACAAATAAGATAGAAATCTTAGTAAGACTTATGTTCAAAAAGTACAAGCATTCTTACCCGACACTCTTTTACTGGATCCGAATTAAGTATTGTCTTTGACATTTTTACAATCAACGGATAGGAATTTATGATGTTTTATTGAAAGTGTAGAGGAAGTTCCTTGGTGTAACTTTCCGAAATTTTAAAGTACAAAACAAAGCTTGAATCTAACAAATTTGCAGGACATATTTACATATGGAAATACATTTAATTTGTTAAAGGTAACATTCTCATTCTCAATCCATATTCACTTAATTTTTTAACGGAAACATTCTCATTCTCAATCCATAGGGTGTAAGGAGTCATTCGGTTTAATGAGAAAAAAAATTGAACAATAAAAAAATAGGAGATTGATTAAGACCTATTTTAATTGATCTATATGGATACTGTACATTAGATCACATATCATAATTGTGTCACATGGTTTATCTTAATTATAAATATGATGATGACACATGGTTGGATAGTTGCTTTTAGAACTTGGGAGTCTTTTAGAGCTGGATCAAACCAAAGGCAAAGTTGATTCAACTATTTTTTTTCTTTTTTAAAATTGTATTTTGTTAATACTTACTTGCGTTTTATTTATTTATTAGATATTTGATTCAATTGATTAAACCATAATTTCGCCAATTTAATCTTTAATACAAATTTCAAAATATTGAATTAAATACATCTGTAAAAAACACTAGCATTGAAGTTCTAAAATAATTAAGATTTAAATTTTGTTTTATTTTTTTGTCTGTTTGACCATGTGTCTTTCTAGCACATATATCTATATATCTATCTATATTGGCAGCTCACTCATTAAATTTTTTATTTTTAGTTTCATTTGGAGCTACAATCGGAGAATCAAGTAAGACACTACCAACTCCTACAGGTTAGTAATATATATTTTTATTTATTTATAATGTGAATTTATTATTATTATTATTATTATTATTATTATTATTATTATTATATTGGAATAAAAATGTTTTTTTCAGTATTTTTATTATTATTATTATATTAGATTTAAATTTTTATTTACTAAATGGACTGCATTGAACATTTTTATGTGTTCAAAGAAATTTACAAGCTATGAACTACAAGAAGTTTCGGAGCCATGTATAATGTATATTGTGCCTGAAAAACATAAAACAAATTCAGTTTCTAACAAGAAGCTACTCACAAAATACATTACTACAGTTTGGGAGTCCTGAAATGAAGTTCACAAACCTTATGACACCTATGATAATCTCTACAATTACTAAGATCAGAATTGCACCAATGTTGTGATATTAATAGCTCAAGTTCTCTTAAAAGATCCTGAAGAAACCAAAAAAACAGTCTAGTATTTCTTTCTATTTCATTGTCTGCAACTGTGATTGCTAGTGTCAACCTTCACAATAATATACTCCAAATTAGGATAGAAAAGAAACCAAAAAAACAGTCTAGTATTTCACCTCCAATATGAACATGCCCATTAAAACTCACTCCCAAGGCTTTGAAGACTTAGTTTATTTGCATGTTGCATTCTCAATATCAAATGCAAGGGATCATTTGGATTCTAAGAAGCACGGACACAACGGAGCCAATGCTACAAGGCTAATGTCCAAAACATACAGCAGATAGCACACTTGCTCATCTCCATATACTTGCAATCAGAATCAACAGGCAGTGAGGAAGCATATAATTAATTAAAAGAAAACTAGTTACTCACATAATGGTGGGCACAATCCCATAAGGAGTCTTTTTCTGCAACCAAGAACAAGTATATTTAGGACAGTGTCTCACTGTGTAATGCTTCACATTTTGTTGCAGTTTATAAGGTCCTTTAGAAAATTCAGTGTATGTTAAAATTCTCAGCCAGCAGCAGCATTTTGTCATTGTAAACTTTGTTGGCAAAGATCAATTTTTTTCATCATCATTGTTTAAGTTCAAATAATGTGTCCATTGAAAATGTTACCTTACCGCGTTTTTTGAACCTTCACAGTGAAGAACCAGTACTGATCATAATTCCATTTTAGATACGGCACATTGTCTGAAAGATGTACGATAAAAGTTCAATAAGAACATGACTGAAATAATTATAAGAGGCGAAGCGTAACTATTCTTAAAGTTTTTTCATATCACTTTTGTGTATACCAAACTGTAGAAATCTTCCATTCCAATACATATATATACTAATTAAACACAAGCAACATGAGATTTGATAAGTCAATTTCTATAAGTTGTGATCAATTTGAGTCTTCTACTGAAAACTGATAATAAGTTGTGATTAATTTCTTAAGAAGCATTTTGTCGTAGTTATAGCAACAAAGCCAAAGAAGTACCAATAAAAAAGAATTGTCATAAAAACCACACCAATGAGTATATCTAGAATTGTATCTGCAAGTTCATAGAGGAATCAACTGAAACAAGATAACCTACAAAATAAAAACAAAAAGCAAAATCAACATAAGTAAACTTACTATGGCATTTACAAAAATCACCTAAGTTTATAATCAATCTAACTTAAAATCAGTACAATCAGATAAGCTCGATAATAGATATAGAAATAAAAAAAATCAAAGAGATGAATTTACCTGAGTTGAAAGGGGAAAAATACAAGCTAAGGTTCGGAGATTCGATTGGTGGTTGTGATTGCGAGAGTCTAGATCATTGTGAAGAAGACTGGTCATGGTGTAACGGGAGAGGCTTTGTCAACTCCAAACGTGATCGATGCTCGAGCCATTACCCAATTTCTCTGTTACTAGGATTTTGTTTTGAGCTAACTCCAAATGTTTGATTTTTTTTTTAAAATAACCAACTTTTCTGAGAATAATACCAAACAATTTCAGGTTTCCAAAAAATTACCAAAGCAGCTATAATTCAACGTTCAATCGTCATTTGAAATGACGACTTACTTCAAATGTGAAGTTTGGCCAGAGGTAGATTCGCCACCTGGAATGGCGACTTGGTGTTAATAGACCAAAGTCGCCGGATCAATTGGCGAATTAGTTCAAGTATATTGTAGGGTTTCACTTTTTTTTTAGTTAATGGTTTAATTTGAATTATTATGAAATAATTATATTTTTATTATTTAAAATATAGTTTTTAATAAATTTAAATAATTATTTAAAATAAAGATTTTAATATATTTAAGTAATTATAAAAAATAAGGTTTAATAAAAATTTAAGTAATATTTATGAAATAAGTAATAATTATTGTTTTTAAATTATAAATTATTTAAAATTTTTAATTATAAATTAATTTAAACACAAAAAAAAAATTGAAGAACAATTTAATTTTAAAGCATATAAATTGATTTAAATTATAAATTTTAAAACGTAAAAACTGATTAACCATTGAATTATAAAGTGTATGAATTTTGTAAGAGTATTTAAGACATTTCATATGGGGCACATAGTATTGTATTTTTCTATAAATACGACTGCAAACACATATATGTTTTCACAACATTGTATACCAAAAGACTACGTTAGTGCATTTTGAGTGGAGTGAAGTCTAGAATGTCTGCATTTCTAAATCAACGTTCTTCGTCGTCGTCGTCGTCAGCATCGGAGGAACCGTTTCCAACGTTCGATCTAATGAAAAGAAACGCTGTAGTGGTGTTTTCAGCAACCAAGCCTCCGATGAAGGTGCTCCTCTGGAATACGCAGACGTTGGAGCACTTGCATAGGGAGCTGAACCGCTGGCTAGAAGGAGATATTGCTCCAGGAGAAAAGATTAGGAAAATCGAGAGGCTAGTCGAGGAAACCGGGAGAAACAGAGTGACTCGTGAATGGAGAAAAGTGGAAAATGATGTCGATGTCCTTGTGATGATGTTGACACCAAAGAAGATAAAGTTGATGGTTGTGATATCGTAGACGCCTTGGTGCAGTGTTATGCTTTAAGTCTTTACGTTGTTGTTATGTTTGTTTAATTTATGTTGCCTTCGTGCAGTGTTATGTTTTCATGTTGTTGTTATGTCAGTTAAGTATGCTTTTAATTGATTGAAACTTGGTATTATTCTAATGAAATTTTCTATTAATGGAATAAAAGTTGCTATTAATCGAATGAAAGTTGATATTGATTTAACGGGACAGATTACATTTGAAACTATGATCTGCTGCTTGATCCTACGTTAGGACATTTTGTTCGATTGTGTTCTGGTTGCCGACACGAACTACACAATCTCACCAGCTTGTCTGCAGTATCCATCTCAGTTCGAATGCACGTGCTGTTAGGCCGACCCTTTTTCTGTCTGCGCATCAAGTCATTGTGTCAAACAATTTCGCCTTCGTATTGAGGCCAATAGTTCTCCTTTGCCACCACTTGAAAGCTGCACGTGTAGACATTGCATAGACTAATGACTTGGTGAACTGCAGAAAGAAGGTTGGTTGGGTCCTAGCGCAACTTCGAACATGCTGCTATGACATGAGAGCACGTCATACGAAATGCTTGAAACTTTCCACAATCACACCAGCTCTTATCTAATTCAACACGGTAACATCCCCTAGGTCTTCCTTTGTTGTGATCCATAGACTCGGCAACACTGAACCAACCAGTTGTTCGGTCAAAGATTGTGACCACGTGTGTGTTGGCTTTGGCAGCTTCCTCT